CCCCCACCCAGACACAAACACAGTCACCTGATGTTCTTGAGAAGCTGGTGATTTTCTTTGGTTGTTTTTTGGTCGCACCTAGAAAATAAAGATGGTAGACATGAGGAGGAGCAGAGAGGAGCAGAGAGGAGCAGAGAGGAGCAGAGAGGAGCAGAGAGGAGCAGGGAGGAGCAGAGAGGAGCAGGGAGGAGCAGGGGGGAGCAGGGAGGAGCAGGAGGCTCTGTGTCCTCTGTAGTGAGGGGAGGCAGCAGGTGGAGGAAAACCTGGAGAGGTGGAGGTTTGGTTTGGAGCGAGGAGGAACGAAGGTCAGCAGGAGTGAGGAGAGTGGAGCGATGAAGGTGGAGGAGTGAGACTCTAGGGGAGCGGACAGTGAACAAGAGGGTGGAGTCAGGGTGGAATGGGTGGAGACGAGTGTCAGGAGTGGACTGTGACAGAAAAACAGGAGGAAAGGTGAAAGGTCAGAGGTCAGAGGTCAGGGCAGTAGTGAGACCTGCTGTGATGTTCGGTTTAGAGACAGTGGCTCCGTCCAATAGACAGATGAGATGGAGGTGGAGATGGAGAGATGGAGTTGACAGGAAAGAGGAGAAGAAGACATGGAGATAGTTGGAGTAAGAGCAGAGGAGGTCTACGATCCTAGATGCAGACCACAGACCACAGACCACAGACCACCATGAAGGTCAGACTGAGCAGATGGGTGGAGGACTAGTGTGAGGTTGTAGGATCTGCTCACCCAGGTCAGGCCTCACAGAGGAACTGTTGCTGCTGAGATCTTTTCTCTCTGGCTTTTCAATTTCTGGATCTTCTGACTCGTCAAACCCTGAGGGACTGATGGGAGTGATGGGTCCTGGCGCCGAGGTTGCATCATCCGGGACCTCAGGGTTCTCTAGAACCAGGTTGGTCAGGGGGGTTGTGAACCGGTAGATCAGTGACAGGTCGGTCACCTTCTGGAGGTGTTCTTCTCGATCTCTGCTGGTTTGGCTTCTCAGACGAGAACGCAGCCCGTCCTTCACGCTTAGAAGACCCCATGCACGTTCTACAAAGTCCTGAGCCAGTAAAGCTACAGCGCCCCCTTGTTCCTGTGGGACCTCAGATCCCAGGTTCAACAACCCCGTGGCAGCTCCAACCTGCTTTTCCGTCTCCGTCGTTCTGCGCCGCAGCGGCACATTGGTCTCCAGGACCAAGTTCTTGTCCTTGTTGGTGGCAGTCACCCTAATGTGTAATGCCTCTGCACTCTGATTGGACAGTTTCCCAGCTACTGCCAATTCAGAGCCATTGAAGTAGGTGGTGAAGAGGTTCTGGGAGGTGAAGTGGACCAGGTCTGAGCTGTAGCTGATTCTGACATTGGACAGCAGAGGGCTCCCGATCTCATCGTAGAATCTGGAGAGCATAAAGGGAGACGCCAGGTTCAGTTAAGTCAGGTTCAGTTAAGTCAGGTTCAGTTAAGTCAGGTTCAGTTAAGTCAGGTTCAGTTAAGTCAGGTTCAGTTAAGTCGTCAGGTTCAGTCGGTTCAGTTAAGTCAGGTTCAGTTAAGTCAGGTTCAGTTAAGTCAGGTTCAGTCAAGTCAGGTTCAGTCAAGTCAGGTTCAGTTAAGTCAGGTTCAGTTAAGTCTTCTGGGGTGTTGGGTCAGACCAGGGTTAGTTAGGTCCACTAAACATGTGCGATGGTTCGGTCCCTCTCACCCTTTTAGCAAAGCGCTAGCGTCGTCCTGCTCATTGATGCGTCTCATCATTCCACAGTTTTGCAGAGCCATCCGATCCAGGAGCCGATAGTCCACCTCATGTCCGATCCCAACAGTAAAGATGCAGAACTTCCCTCGGGCTGCTAAGCGAGTTTTTCCCAGGATCACCGCCGTGCGCTGTTCTCCGACTGTGGGTCGTCCGTCTGTCAGGAAAAGGATGAAGGACTCGCTGGTAGGACTGGCACCAGGACTGGCACCAGGACTGGCACCTGGACTGGCACCAGGACTGGCACCAGGACTGTCCAGGTCTTGAAGTAGTAGAGAAGATCCGGCCTGGATGGCTCCATCAGTGTTGGTGGCTGAATCAGTGAAGAGTCAGGATCAAGTCTCCATCATTCTAAGCTGAACCGTCTGTGTCGGTGTGGCTCACCTCCTGTTGGCATGAGGCTGTAGATGAACTTCTTTGCGTCCCTCACAGTCAGTGGTGTGACCGGAACCAGAACGTCTGGTCTCCAGACTCTGACTTTGGTGGAGAAGCTGATGAAGTTGAAGTGATCTTCTGGATGCAGATCCTCCAGGATTGTGAGGAGAGCTTCCTTAATCTGGGTTACAGAAGGAGAAGAAGGAGAAGAAGGAGAAAGGGTTAGGGTTAGAAGGAAAACTGGACCGGCTCCAGGTCCTGGTCCTGGTCCTGGTCCTGGTCCTGGTCCTGGTCCTGGTCCTGGTCCTGGTCCTGGTCCACCCTGACTCTTCTCTACTTTCTCCTCTTTCCTTCTACACTTGTCTTTTTTTAGTTCTTGGAGCTGCAGTGATCAGATCCAGATCAGGCTGGCGGTGATGGCTGAACAGCCAACAGGAGGCGCTGTCACTCACCTGTCTGATCTTCTTTCCCAGCATGGAGGCGCTAGTGTCGATGACGAACACCACCTTCTTAGGAATCACAGGGAGGTGTTGAGGAGCGAAGAAGTGAAGGAAGTGACCGTTCAAC